ACCATTAAGAACAGAAAACATCTTTTTCCTTGACTACATTTACATTGTTTTTCCATAAGCTGGTTTTGCAAATGTTTTCTTTTTCTGAACCTAGTCTGTGAGGTAGGAATGTGAAAATGAGACGGGGGGATTGGCACATTTATCCAAAGAGACTCAGCACAGCTTTATTTGGTGACAGCATCATTACCTACACTGTGACATGGAATTACAGGGGAAGTCCCTGTTTTAAGCTGTCGACTTAAAGAGTTTGCTTTCTCTCAGATTATGTGATTTGATTTGTGTTTTTATATAATCACCATCATCCATCTGGCACTTCTTGCACATCCTGTGACTGTGTATTGTCGTCTTTAGTGCACTTAAGCAAAAACCCTTGCAAGCGCTCAAACGCAGGAGCTGGGAGTTTACCTGGACATGAAAAAAGGAGCGCACCTGATTTTAAAATAAAGCCCGGTTGTGAATGACTCTGCACTCTATTTCAGGTCTTTTAATTGTATTGCATGTTTCCAGAGGCCCGTAAACTTGTCAGACTGTTACTAAATACAAAGCAGACAAATATTTAAGACCCAGAGCTCTTAGAGTTCTTAAAACATGCTTGAAAAGATGACAGAATGATCTCTTCAGGGAGGTTTTTCCAAAGTTATCATTTACCAGTTTGCCAGTTACCCATTTAGTTCATTCATTTGTGCAGATGTTTTCAGGGGTCTGTAATCCAGAAAATACTGCAAGTTGTTGAGGTTTAACAGTTTCCCAACAAAACTTAAAGTGTGCTGAAATCTAATATCTGCTAATTAATACTAGAATTTCACTCACCACCTCTACCACTGTAACTATGGTTTAGCATTTAGGCTTCAGGTTTGGTGTGCTGGCACAGTTAGGTGTTTGATGTCTGACTTCGTCCTTGCCAACTTCAGTCGATGAACTGGACCCATGTACCGTGTTGGTGGTGTGTGGGGCGATTTTAAATGGAGCTGACAAATTTTATGACTTGCTGAGTCATTCAGAGGTTTGAGCTTCAGTTTGGTTGGAATTGTAACATTTTATTAGTCTGATACCTAAAAAGCAAAGCAACAAAACAACAACATAATAGCAACCAGTTGAGTGGCGTCACAGAGGATAGATGGAGAAAGATTACATTCTCATTTCAACCCTCATATATTCAAAACAAAATACTGCAGCCAGTTTTTTACGTATTTGTCAGATTTAAATGTTTCAGATCATCAAAAAAAAAGTTATATTAGACAAAGATTGGCCAAAACAAATACAAAATTATGATTTCATATACTGGTGACCCCTTTAATTATGTCACACTATTAGTGTTAGTAAGGCTTTAGGGAATGTATAAATACAGATACATTTATCCATCTGTTACTGTTACACTATGTGTTGCTATCACTGATACTACATCACTGCTAGTAATAATCATAATCAGAACAGTATAGCTGTATTTATAAATGGCACCCAAAGTAATAAATTAAAATGATGAATTAAGCACTTTCTAATGCCTTAATAATGCGTAATAGTGTGACATTATTATAAAGTGCTACCAATTTATTAAGAGAAAAAAATGTATCCAAACCTAACTGGCCTTATGTGAAAAAGGAGTTACTTTGGACTTTTGGGAAAGCTGAGCTCCGTTTCACTACCTGTACTCGTGTCTCATCATTGTCAGACCTGTTATGTCAAGAAATCACTTAAATAAAAGCTGTGTGACAAAATGAAGGAGGCTGAAAGGTCTCAAAAGCAACACTTCATACAACAATCTAAAAAAATCATCTGAGAAACAAAGACACCAGACAATATTCCTAAATGGAGAAAACTTGGAACAGTGGTGAACTTTCCCACGAGTTGCCTGTCCACTAAAATAAGTCCAAGAGCAACTTATCCAAGAAGAACATCTAATAAGAAAGAGACTGGGCATGAATTGAATGCATGGGAGAGTTCAACAGCTGCTGAGCAAAAAGGTCACTGAAGCTTGTCTCACATTTGTCAAAACAAACATTTTGCCGATCACCAAGACTTTGACAAAAAAATGACAAAATGGCAGCAGATGTCACTCTTGGACAATAATGTGTTAAAAGAAAACAGTTAAATTAACCAGCATTCTTCAGTTAATCTGACTTAATCGCTCGATGTGTTGTTTTACAATTTGGTTCAAAATTCCCTTTAACTTTCTTAAACCTAGAAAGTCTAACTTAAGTATTTCAGAAAACATGTTGGGGAATGAGAAAGAACATCATGTATGGGTAGAACTTCACTTATTCCAATTCAGTTTCTAATGGCACAAAGTTCAACTCATAACTATGACAAATTCTGGATATGATGTGAACAAAAACAC